TGCCTTGGACACATGGCTACTTGTGTGGGGGAGGGCTGGCCGTGGCCATCTGCTGGGGAATGTAGTCAAGGCTGTGGCTACACTGGTGCTGCCCGGGCTGGGCACAAGGTGGCCTTCGTGTGGTAGTTGTCTGCAGAGCCATGCAGGGCTTCTGCTGAAGTCTTGCTTGCTCTGCACCCACTTGTGCTTACAGATGCATTCCCTGTCCCCCTGGGGTCCCCTCTATTGTATGGGACACCTCATCCTCTTCTGGCTGTTTTCCATGGCCCCTTCTGATGATGGTCCTGTTCTCTTCCTGCCCCTCACCCATCCTCCCTGTCCTCAGAGCTTTCTCAATGCCCCCCACTTGTGAGGGGGCTCTTGGGTTGTACTTGTTCCCAGGCCATATGGTACCCCTATGGACCTGTGCAGATTCTGGCCTGGGGCTGATGGGATGCATGGACAGAGAGGTGACCTGCCCAGGAATGTGCCCGCCATGTGTATTCCCTCACTACAACCAGTGCTGGGGTGCATGACAGAGAGGTGACCTGCCCAGGAATGTGCCCGCCATGTGTATTCCCTCACTACAACCAGTGCTGGGGTGCATGGGCTCCAGGGCCCTTTGGCAGGAATGCTTAGCAGCATGGGCACTGGGCAGAGGCAGCTGTGATGCTAGAATGATCCAGAAGCCTCTCCAAGAGCCTAGAGCAGACTCAGCCTGCATCCTACCCTCCTGGCTGTGCAGATCCAGTGGCGAGTTAGTACAGGACACACTTAAGAAGGATTAAGGGAGCCCTGTTGGTGAAGTCAGACCCCACTAGAAAGGAGCCTCAGGGTTCCCTAGACTGGGGATCCTCACACCCTTCCCTCCCTCACACAGTCTAGAAGGGTGCCCCATGCCCCTAGGGGGCTGCAGGGAGAGGGCTGTCAGGGTTTAGAAGTATCTTCAGCAGACCAGGGTTTAAAGCTGAACAGTAGTGTGAAGAAGCTTGAGGCCCAGGGAGGTTGAATAACCAGTCCCTGTGCACATAGCACAATCCAGACTTGGCTGGTTTTTGTTTTAACTAGAGGCACTTCACTTGTCCAGCAGGGGCTGGAATTGTTTTCCCTGGGATGCTGGGAAAAAGTATTTCAGGCCTTGCAGGCCAGGGAGCCTCGGTGTAATTTAGGATATCACATAGGTACTAAGGGGACAACAGATGAAACAAATTCTGTGACTTTTTGTTGATATAATTAAAGTAACAACATGAGCATCATTTTCTTTCTTCAGAATTGGGCTTTAAACTCAGGGTTACACTTGAGCCACACCTCCAGCCCCTTTGTCCTAGTTTTTTCTCAGCTAGGGTCTGGCTGACTTTCCCCTTGGCTGGCCTTGGACTGTAAGCCTCCTACTTCTGCCTCCCACGTAGTTTGGGTTAGAAGAACAAACAACCTGGCCTGAGTACAGTGTTTTTATGGGTAGTACTGGCGTTTCTAAGTACAATTTAAATGTGGATTGACTAATAAGAAGAGTGGAATTCGTTTTGGAATAACATTTTGCTTTAGTAGGGTTCAGGGTAGTTTTCCCATCATCAAAACGACCTGCAAATACTCACCTGTTGGAATCGGAGGCATGGCTCAAGTGGTAGAGCACCAGCTGTGAGCAACAAAGTGGAAACACACACAGGCACACACGTGTGCACACACACATCACACATCACTTACCTGTGAGGCTCTTTGATGCAGTTTTGTGGGCAATCTTTTTTTTCTTTGTCGGTCATGGGTTTGAACTCTGGATCTGAGCGCTATCTCCCAGCTCTATCAGCTCAAGGCTAGTGCTCTACCACTTGAGCCACAACACCACTTCTACTTTTCTAGTTATTTATTGGAGATAAGAATCTCACAGACTTTCTTGCCTGGGCTGGCTTTGAACTGGAATCCTTAGATCTTAGCCTCTTGAGTAGCTAGGATTACAGGCATGAGCCACCGGTGGTGTGGGCAGTCTTTGAAAGTATCTTTCAAAGATACGGGGTGATAGGCCTGGCTGGGCACTGGTGGTTCACGCCTGTAATCCTAGCTACTCAGTAGGCTGAGATCTGAGGATCATAGTTCAAAGCCAGCCTGGGCAGGAAACTCTGTGAGACTCTTATCTCCAATAAATAACTAGAAAACCGGAAGTGGTGCTGCGGCTCAAGTGGTAGAACACTCGCCTTGAGCTGAAGAGAGCAGGGACAGCACCCAAGCCCAGAGTTCAAGCCCAACGACCAACAACAGCAACAAAAAAGATATGTGGTGATGTAGTGATGTGAGGCTGAAGTGCATTTACAAATGGCTGCTGGATTTTCTTCATATCTGACTCTTAGTGGAAATCAGTTACTGTAGTTGAGGGCCAGGTGGGGGTTCCTTAATTGTATAGTAGACTCTGTGTGTGTGTGTGTGTGTGTGTGTGTGTGTGTGTGTGTGTGTGTGTAAGTTTTTGGCAGGACTAGGGTGTGTGTGTGTGTGTGTGTATGTGTGTGTGTGTAAGTTTTTGGCAGGACTAGGGTTTGAACTCCAGGTCTCTTTTGCTCTGGTTATTTCTGAGATAGGGTCTTACTTTTTTGCTTGAGCAAAAATGGGAGTCTTTTAAACTTTTGGTCTAGACAAGGCTGGCCTTGAACTTCGATCCTTCTGATTTCAGCCTCCTAAATAGCTGAAGTAACAAGAACGAGCCACCAGTGTCTGGCTAGGAGAAAAGTATCCAGGATCAACTTTAGATTTTCTGCTAAATGTGAGGGTTTTGGTTAGGGAGGTAGTGTGACCTGACTCATTTGTCAAGTGCTCCTCTGGCTGCTGTGTGGAGGTGGCCACCAGAAGTCTCTTGCAGCATGTGGCCAGGACATGATTCTGTGGGTACAGATGCTCTGCTGTCCCTGATCTCTACCACCCCCTCTCCTCCACCCCCCCCCCCCCCCCGCAACTTAGAAACCACCATAAACTTCCTCTTCTGAGTTGCTCAATCTACCTTGACTTGGCTTTGTGAGCATTTGTGTGCCTTTCCTGAAATATGGGGCCTGGGCTACCCAGTGAGGGCAGGGGGCCCATGGGCTTGCCCACAGCCATGCCCCGCATGCCAGTCCTGCACAGAGCAGACATGCAGCTAGCTGCAGACTGCTCTAAGCACCATTCGCATCACAGTTCTGTGGGTCAGGTCCTTCCAGAATCCTTAGGAGCGGGTCCAAAATGCAGGTCAGGTTGTAGAAGCCTGCAGACTCTGATGGGTGGGGCCATCCGGCAGGAACCACACCCATACACCCATTCAATTCTTCTTCAGAGCCAGACATCAATAAGGATGAGGGCTGGGACATGACCCCAGTGATCAGCACTTGTTCAGCCTGCGTAAAGCTTTGAGTCTAACATGTGCACGTGCACTCATGCAGATGAAATTAATGCTGGCTGTGGCAGGAGTACCTCTGAAAGCCAAGAATGGGGTAGTTCTGAGTGGAGGATGGACCAGCAATGCTAAGCCCAGACCCCAGCCCCTGCCCTGAACTTTCCTGGAGGCAGCGTATCAAGTGGAAGTCACATGCCACCTCCCCATACACGTGTAACACCTGCAATGCTGAGTGTGACAGGCCATGTGGGTGCAAGGTTCTTATTGGCCACAACACTGCTGCTCAGTGGAGTGACACGGTTTCCTAAGCCTGGCAGAAGGGAAGAAGTATCCTGCTCAGGGTTCAGGACTTCCCACACAGGCACACGTTGATTGCGTCAAATCTGCCAGGCTTCAGCTGGGGATGGACACCTGAGCCTCTTTCTAGCAAGCAGAGGTGGGGGTTCCCCTAAGTCCACCTTGAGTTCAGTGACTTGCCAGGATTCACAGACTCTGAAGATTTTTACATAGAATTGCAGTTTATTGAAGCAAGAGAATGCAGAGTAAAGGCAGCAAAAGGGGCTGGGAAGGTGATTCAGTGGTAGAGTACTTGCTTTGCATGCACGAAGCCCTGGATTCGATTCCTCAGCACCACATAAGCAGAAAAAGGCAGAAGGGGTTCTGTGGCTTAAGTGATAGAGTGCTAGCCTTGAGCTGAAGAGCTGAGGGACAGCGCCCAGGCCCAGAGTTCAGGCCCTACCACTGACAAAAAAAAAAAAGGCAAAAGAAAAGATGTGAAGGGCCAGGTGTTGTGTTTCACACCTGTAATCCCAGCCACGTGGGAGGTGGGGATGGGAGGATCATGGCCCAAGTCTGACTAGGCAAAAATGTGAGACCCTATCTGGAAAACTAAAACAAAGGTAGCCAAGGACATGGCTCCCGTGGTAGAGGCCCCAACTTCAAACCCCAGTACTTCCAATAAAGGGAGAGGGAGCGGGGAGAACAGCTCTACAAACATTCAGGTTTTCCCAGGATTGTGTGGGGGTAGGGAGGAGGTATTCAAGACTTTAGTACCAAATGGCTTTGTGTGAGATGGTTTGCCGTGCTGTAGGCTGGTGGAGGGGTTTGATGGAGGCCTGGCCTCAGGAGGATGCTAAGCGCTCGGTACGTTGAGTACACTTTGGCTCAGTGCTACTTGTGATTTAGGGTGGAATTATCAGGACAACCTTGGGTGGGCAGCCTCTGTGAAACCAGCCTGGGCTTGGGTCCTGTTGTTACAGAGAGCTGGCGGGCTGTGTCTGGAAGCTGCCTGCTCTGGTTCTGGCTCCAGCCATCCAGAATGTTACCCTGCTGAGGGATTTGAATCCCAACTCCTAGGCATTCATTGAACATCTCAACTACCAGCAGTACCGGCTTGCCATACCAGGGGTCCCAGGTAGACAGAGACATTTGTCAGGAGCGCATTCCGGGCCTCTCAGGGCACTTCCTAGGAGCAGCTCAGGGACCACTGCTCAAGAATGTTGGTGTGTGCCTGATTTGGGGCTACCCTGCAGCTGGGGACAGGCCTCCTCTGAGGCTTGATGGCACCAGAGCCTCCAGCCACATAGCACATTTGCCATTCCACACCCCCGGGGCGTTGGGGCCCTGGGACCCCTTTCTGCTCACATCTGACTTTGCTCTCTCCTGACAGTTTCATCATCGACACAGGGAAATTTCCACGAGGACACCAGTGCCACCATGCCCGAGGCCGCAACTGAAGAAGTGTCGCTTTTCAGCATGACAGACATAATTCTCTTCTCCGTCATTGTGGGGATCCTGACCTACTGGTTCCTCTTCAGAAAGAAAAAAGAAGAAGCAATTGAGTTCACAAAAATTCAGACAACGTAAGTGACACTGCCCTGTGTCCCCTTTTCACTCTTGCAGGCCACTGAAACGGCCATGGTTGGGCCTGTGGGGCTCCAGGAAGGGAGTGGGAGTTCCCTATTCCAATTTGGTAGCAGCTTCCTTTTTTCATTTTTATTGGGGTGCTGGGATCTAACCAGGGCCTCATGCTCCTAAGTGCTTGCAGCACTGCTGAAATTACAGCAGTAATTTCACAGCCTTCCCTCCTAGAAAAGCCTTTTCCAGCACAGTGAGTGCATACCTATGAGCCTATCTGATTATAGGCGGAGGTAGGAAGATCCCTGTGTGCACTGATGTTGACCCCTGGCAGAATCATGAGACCCTACTTGATAAATTATTAAAGCACAAAAGGACAGAGGGTATGGCTTATGTGGTAAAGCACAAGGCCCTGAGTTCAAATCCCAGTGTTATAAACTACAAAAGGAAGAATGAGAGAAAGAACGGGCCCAATCTTCTAGCAGACGATTGCAGCGGGCACTCCTTTACCACCCACCCACACACTGCTTTCCATTTTTAACACGTCTTACATGCTTCAAAATTGGAGTCAAAGCTGGGTGCTGGCGGCTCCTGCCTGTAATCCTGGCTACTTAGGAGGCTTAGATCTGAGGGTCCAGGTTTGAAGCCAGCCCCAGAAGGAATGACCATAAGACTCTTATCTCCAGTTAATCACAGGAAAAGTCGGAAGTGGTGCTGTGGTGCTGTGGCTCTAGTGATAGAGTGCTAGGGACAGCACCCAGGTCCTGAGTTCAAGCCCCAGGACCTAGACTTCAAACTTTGACCCTCAAATCTCAGCCTCCTAAATAGCTAGGACTACAGGCTTGAGCCATGATGCCTGGCAAGTAATGGATTTCATGATTTTTGTTGTTGTTGTTGTTGTTATTGTTGTTGGTTGTGGGGCTTGAACTCGGCCAGGGCACTGTCTTTCAGCTCTTTAGCTCAAGGCAAGCACTCTGCCACTTGAGCCACAATGCCATTTCCGGTTTTCTGGTCAGTAATTGGAGATAAGAGTCTCACAGACTTTCCTGCCTGGGCTGGCTTTGAATTGCAATCCTCAGATCTCAGCCTCCTGAGTAGCTAGGATTACAAGTGTGAGCCACCATACCCAAGCCTCATGATTTTTTTTTTTTTTTTTTTTTTGTCCCTTGTGGGACCTAACTCTGGGCCTGGGCCTGGGTACTGTCCCTGAGCTTTTCAGCTCAAGGCTAGCACTCTACCACTGAGCTACCTTCCTGGTCCTCATGATTTTTTTTTTATACATTTGTAAATATACTTTACATATTTGCCTGCCATTGCTCTCTTTTGTTCTCCTCCTTGCTTGTTTACCATTTCATTTACTTTTTTGTCTTTTGTGAGACTGGGTCTTGCCACAGCGCAGCCTGGCCTCCTCAGCCTCTGGAGTGATGGGATTACAGGTGTGTACCACCAAACCTGGCCCTGCTTACCATCTCTATTCTTCTTTCTATTCTTCTCCACCCTTACTTAGAAGAGCCCTTCAAGGAAGGCCTTTGGGCCCACTTTGCAGATGTGGAGTCTACTTGGGGTCCTGAGGTCTGCACTTTCCACAACCCGGCTCTTCCTTTGCCAGTGGCCTTCAGTCTCTGAGGACACTGGTCCTATGTCTGTCTCAGAGACATCATTTGGTCTGGACCTCTTATCATAAATGCTACCTCAGTGTTCCTTGCTGTTTTGTTTTCAGTTGATGTAGCCTAGAGGAGCCATGTTGCTGCCTTAGGCAATGCAGGAGGCCCAGGGTGGCAGGCTCTGGTTTTCAGGGCTGTGTCATGATGGGCTTGGGTTTGCAGGGGTGTGTCCTGATGGAGAATATGGGAAGCGCAATTAGGAGTACAGGTTTTAACCTGATCTCAGAGCTGTGGCTCATACTGAGAGGGTGTGGATGGAATTGTGAGCTGGGATGACCAACGCTGGCTTCATCTCTGCTCCTTCCTGGGTGGTGTGTGGGGGCGGCTAGCGGGAACCACATCCAGGATGTGTTCCTGATCATGTAAGGCCCTAGAACATCCAGCAAGAACCCAGTAGGGCAAGGTTGACATGAGGCCTGGGTGAAAGCAGTAGAAGGTGGGGCTGGGCTGGGGCACCCAGGCAGGCCAGACAGGCTGGGGAAGGAGTCTCTAGTGTGTGTGCTTCCCCAGAGCCACCAGGTGCGGCTGATCAGGTGATTGAGGAGATTTAAACATCTTTGCGGACAGGGCAGGCTGGGGCTCACTGGCGAGATGAGATCAGGGTTGTTGGAAGAAAAGTGATGAGATCAAATTTTTAAAAAGAATGTTAAGCCAGGCTTAGTAATAGAAGCCTGCAGTCCCAGTGCTCTGGAGGTGGAGGTAGGAGGATTGTGAGGCCTATGCCATTCTGGGGCATACAGATGCATACTCAAAAATAAAAAAAAAAAGGTTAAGACTTACAGAACTGTCGGTAGTGGGTCTGGCTGCCTCAAGGTGGAGCTGGGGAATAGGCAGGTATGGTGTGCAGGCTCACGAGGCAGATGGTCTCGGGAAAGCCTCACTGTCTGTGTCTGTAAACTCCCCCAAGGAGCGTGGCTTGTGCATTTGTACGTACATCAGAACCGGCTGGCACCCAGGGAGCCCTCGCCCCCCGCAAGCCACCCCTCCAGGGTCACCGTGACTTCTCAGAGCCGATGAGTTTAGTCTAAGTCATAAAACACTTGCCACTGGCTGGCTTCAGCGTGTCGGGCTTGGGCTGCCAGCCCTCCACCTGCCTGCATTGCCCCTGCCCACAGCCTTGCCCACCTTCTTTTGGTATGTTTGGCTTTTTCGGTACTGGTGTGTGAACTCAACGCTTCACCCCTTGAGTCCCATCCCCAGCGTCTTTGCTTTCATTCTTTTTCAGATAGGGTTTCACTCTTTTTACCCAGGCCAGGCTGGGACTGAGCTCTTCCTGCCTGTGCCTCCCACATGCCTGGGATTATAGGTGTGCATCACTGCACTGGGCTCAATTCTTTCATCTTAATTGTCTAATGACATCCAGTGTTAATTCCCACTTCTCTGGTGATCCATGAATTTGCTCCCATTCTGTAGCCTCATTGGCCATTGAGACCCCTTTTGGGTGAAAGTCTTGTTCTAGAGTCTGGGTCCTCTGTCTCCTTGTGGATTGGTGAGATAAGCAGTCACCGCCTGCTGCCGGCTTGCCTTTACTCTCCTAATTCAACTTTTGGGATGGAAGTTCTTTGTTTCTCCTTACTGTAACTTGCCAAACTTTTGGTTGACCTTAACCTTTATGGTTCATGTTTTTGTGTCCAGTTGAAGAAATCTTTACTGAAGTTGGGGTGCTGCTCTACAGGAGAGCACTCACCTAGCACATGTCCCCTCCCCAGAACAGGGAAAGAAGAAAGAGGGGAAGAATGTGGGTCATGAAAAAGTCCTTTGAAGATTGATAGTGTGTGAGTTCGGGGTTGGATCTTCCTTCTTGTCTCCAGCACAGGAACTGCAGACGGCCTTTCCTTACCCTGTGTCAGCAGCACAGCTGACATGGCAGGTGACATGGCAGGTGATCATGCCCCCCTCCAGGCAAGCCATTCCTGGGGGCCATTCTCTGGTCCTCATCCTGTTCTGGCTGCTCTGTGCTCTGGTGTCTTACAGGGACTCTCTTCTTCGCAGCTGGTAGCTTTGTTCCTTTCACAGCCTCTTGGCGCGTGCGTGCGTGTGTGCGTGCGTGCGTGCGTGCGTGTGTGTGTGTGTATATACCATCCTAGGCTTGAACTCAGGGCTTGAACTTCTTTTGCCCAAAGCTAATGTTCTACCACCTAAGTCACAGTTTTACTTCTGGCTTCTTTTTAGGTAGTTTAATGGAGATAAGAGTCTCAGGACTTTTCTGTCTGGGCTGGCTACAAACTGAGATCCTTAGATCTCAGCCTCCTGAGTAGCTTAGGATTATAGGCTTGAGCCACCAGCACCTGGCTACTAGTTTTATTTATTTATTTATTTATTTTTATTTATTTTTTATTTTTGGGTCTGGTCATGGCGCCTGAACTCTGGGCCTGGGTGCTGTCCCTCAGCTCTTCAGCTCAAGGCTAGTGCTCTACCACTTGAGCCACAGCGCCACTTCCAGCTTTTTTCTT